AATTTTACATCATTTGTCACCCAGGTCTTTGGTGGGGAGCATATGGTCAAAATAATTTTTATTATGAGGCCGTCAGACAATCTCACATCACTGCAATGCAGGCAGTACAGCCAGGCCTTAGGAAAATGGGCAGTGACCAGGCAGCTGCCCTCCCTCCTTCTCAACCGTAGGAACTGCATAGAGTTCCCTGTCTCTCTCTCTCTCTCTCTTAGTTTCTGCTCTGTCATTACTCCAAGTTGCCCATGGGTTTCCATGACATTCTCTGACTTCTTGTATTTGGGTACCCTACAGTTACCTGAGGGGCCATTCAGTGTCATGTAATTCAAATTCCCAGGAGGGAGACAGGGCCCCATTGGCCTAGCAGGGTCCAGTTCTCCCCCTTCCCAGCCAGCCGTGGCTAGCAAAATGGTGACCCGGCACAGACACAGCGGCCCGGCATGTCTCCTCATACCCTAAGGACAGGCCAGGAGAGAGGGGGCAAATTGTCCCAAAAGCATGTGGGGATGGGAGGTAAAGGTTGGTTTTTTTTAATTGCATTTTAGGTTTTGGGGTACCTGTGAAGAACATGCAGGATTGCTGCATAGGCACACACATGCCAGTGTGATTTGCTGCCTTCCTCCCCGTCACCTATATCTGGCATTTCTCACCCCTTCTTAGATATTTCCTTTTCAAGTCAATTACTGTCAATGCTGCTGGAAAAAAGAGAACAAAAACCTGTCAAATTTCTTTGCTTGACGTTTAATATATATCCCTTATGCTCCTTGAGAAATGAGGCCCAGAAGCTCAATACAAAAGATGCGAAGAGAGAGATGTTAGGATCCTTGAGCACAGGGCCATGTCAAGCCTGGGGTGGAAGGAAATTCCTTCCCCCAAATACCTATTTTGTATATTGTGAATGACTTTTTTCCTACAATGTTTAAGTCATTCGATTTTTTAAAAAAAAAATTAAAATGCAGGTTTATTAACACTCACACATTATTTTAAGTTTAAATATTTTATTTAAAGCAAAACAATTTTTTTTAAACAGAGTCTTGTTCCGTCATCCAGGCTGAAGTGCAGTGGTGGGGTCTCAGCTCACTGCAACCTCCACCTTCCAGGTTGAAGCAATTCTCCTGCCTCAGCCTCTCAAGTAGCTGGGATTATAGGCACCCGCCACCATGCGTCGCTAATTTTTGTATTTTTAGTAGAGACAGGGTTTCACTATGTTGACAAGGCTGGTCTTGAACTCCTGACCTCAGGTGATCCACCTGCCTCAGCCTCCCAAAGTGCTGGGATTACAGGTGTGAGCCACCACGCTTGCCCTATTACATGTTTACTTCACCTTAAATTAAATAAAAAGTATTTAAGATTGCCATCAGTAAATTGGAAATTGTCTAACATGTCTATTCTCTCAACTAAGACTGAAATAAGCAAAAATGTAGACTTTGAAAATATTATTGATGAGTTTTCTTGCATTAAAAACTCCAAACCCAGTTGTTTTTTTTCTCTTTTCCTATGACGTGGCATGGTCTTTATTTAAATTTTTGACATTTTTATTCATTATGGGTGTTTTTTCTTTTTTGCACTGATTTTGATTTTCTTTCAAAGATTGCATTGAAACAGAATTCATCTCAATTACTGTTTAAATTTGGCCCCAATAGGCACTTTACTCACCTCTCCCTAGGCCTGGCCATGCACCCCTTCATATCCCGCTTCACACTACCCTCCTTCACCGCCAGCCTCTGCATCTACTGAATCAGCAACTGATGGCTTAGGACCTTATGCCTATAGATGTGTTGTCACTGAGTTTATGAGCAAACTAAAGATCACATTACCCATGACTATGGTGGTTTTAGAGACAGTAAGCTTTAGCTTTTGGTGTGTTTCAAGGCAGAGGATATGAGCAAATCAACCCCGCCTTGAGGGGGAACATGCCTTCTGCAGTCTGCCATTGGTCCCATCATTCCCTGTCATCCAACGTGGGCTTGATTTGCACATCCTGGATATTTTCCTTGCCCATGATGGGCACTTGAGTTTGCAGTACCTTCATCCAACTCAGCACGCCTTTTCCCCTGCTGAAGCTTACCCTCCGTGAATCTCCTTGCTCCTTCTTTCCTCGGGAACTCCAACGTTGATTTGGTGATCTCTCTCATCCACAGGCTCTCTTTAGCACTCTGAGTTGGATTCGTTCGGACGAAGAAGCTCTGTGCTAGTTTGAGTAAGCAGGTGCTCTCTCTTGGTGCATCAATCATATTAAGGTTTAAGCACTGTCCCTGTCCTTTGCAGAAGACCAGGCAGCTGCTAGCTGGTGTTTCTCATTACCCGCTTCCTGCTAGCTCAACAGGTGGGGAAAGAAAAAAAAAATGTATACTCACAAAAAGTTGGTGACCCTTGATCCCTATTCAAACGCCTTAGCCTTCCATGGTCCTGAAAAGAAGGAGACATGAAATGATTAGGATGATTTTTCTGCAGTCATCTACTTGCCACTCATGAAGTAAGAAAAAAAAATGTACTTGGTTAAGCTCGTTTCCCCTATTTTCAAGGTAGTCCAGATTGGGAAAATACCACCTTCTTCCCCTTTCACACCTTTGCTGCTGCTCTCCTTATTTTCCTGAGGAGAAACATGTGTAACATGGTCTTTCCCTCCCCCTGAGTCTACAGGGTATTCCATTCATGTGGAGATTGGGGTCTTATAAAAGCTTTTTTGTAGGTGACCAGTGCGCTGTTGAATTGTTGAGTTTTATCTGTAGAAATTTATGTGTAATGTGACTCGCCAAGAGGCATTTCATGCCTTACACACACTCGCAAACACACACACATAAATACACACATACACATGCATGCATTGAAAGACTCAAAACCAGGAACATGTCAGGAGATGGTGAAATAAACTCAAAAGGTAGAATAATTCTGTTTTCTATGGGCATTCTATTTGGAAGAACAATTGAATGTATAAGGGCCATCCCCAGACACTATGCTATGCAAACTAATGATCATATTACCTGTGATGAGGATGATTTTAGAGAGAATATGCTTCAGCTTTTGATATGTTTCAAGTCAAAGGATACGAACAAGTCAATCCAATAGGGATTAAAGTCATTAGATGTTTTTCTTTTAATTTTAAAGGGGAAAAGTCTCCTGAGCAGATAACTCAAATCCTTTTGTATGATTTGTATTATTTCTTAGAGTTTTCATTTAGTATAAACAAAACTAGAAAGAGATTCATATTCCATGGAAACATCCTTAGTAAAACTGCATTGTTAGGAGAAATTTTATTGACACTATCCAAAGACTGCTTTATACTGAATTACATTCAGACTTATAGCAGAATTTTAAAATATTAAGTTAGAATTATGATAATTTTATAATATTATAGTTTTACCTCCAATAAGATTGCAGTTATTATAAGTACTTGGTAATAATAAGAATGCATTCTCACCAAAACATTTGAGGTTCTGGGTAGCTAAGATTTCTGTCAGTGATTTCTAGAGATTGAAGCAATCTGTTTTTTCATAAACAGTAAATATATATATATATATATATATATATATATATATATATCACATTTTAAATGACTATGTTTAAACAAGAAAAAAAAATCATATTAAGTAGAATTAGGACAAGAAAACCTGTCTTTTTATCCAAGGTTGGGGTTTCTTAACCCGTCAGATTAAGGATCTGCTTTAGAGTGTCTCTGTCTCCCTGAAGTTTATGCAGAACTTTATATAAGTATGAAATTGTGCATTTCCCTAAAAGAAGGATCAGTTGCTTTTATCAGATTTCTAAGGGATCTATGATTCAGAGACACCTTTTATGTGATGGATTTTTTAAAGTATTCAAGTAAAAGTCTGAGAAAAAAATTATTGTAACTTTTTTTTAGGCCAACAGCCCACAAGACATCAGCCATTATGAAAATTACGGCCTGCGAAGAACACCAAATTGTACTACTTAAATCTTTGCTAGGCAATACTTCTAAGTTTATACAGCTCTTTCATTCATTTCCTGTTTTCGTACTAATGTCTTCCAATACTTCTGGCTATCTATCTTAAAGCCATCTCTTCCCTGAAACATCCCCTCCAAAAAATATCTATTCCGAAAGGTAGAAAAAACAAGTAAGAAAACTTGCTTTGGAGTGTTATTCACTTATGTTGAATTGGGTGCTTATCATTCTATTTGTCACGTGTGGTCAGACACCATCAAGGCTACCACAGGTGGCTGTAAAATGTTCAAACAACCATCTTTTTTCTGCCTTCTACAGAGGATTCCTCTGCTATATTTAGCCTGTTGGGTTATATATGGCCTTGGAGCTGTTAAATCTTTTGTTTTTCCTTCAGTTTCTTTCTCCTTTACCTAAGATTTAATGCCAAGCGTAGTTCTAACCAACTAGGGTACATTCTAACCATTATCAGTGGCTGGTTTTCATTTTCACACATGGTACCTCTATTGCATTGCTGGAATATTCTGAAGTCCAGTTCTTTCTGTATTTGGTAGAGAAATCAAACAGATTTGATAAGTGGAAAGGAAATAAAATATCCTTTCCACTTAGTTGTGTTTAGTATCATCGATATTTAGATTCATAAACCAGGAAAAAAATAAGACAGGTTTATGTTTTGGGGATATTTTGGCAAGGGAGAGGAAATTATGCCGTAAGATTTTTCTAGTGAAGGGCAAACCAATTCTGCTGACCAGTAGTATGATATCATATTATTGTCAGAAATGCAAAAACTAAAACTCCTGAGGAAAAAGTTTCATTCTGCCAACACTCTCAAGCCCCTACCCAAATTCCGTTGCAGTGCTGTGTGAAAACCAGCCTGGTTTCCAAAACACACTGACTGGATTCACGTTCCTCCTGTTTTCATGGTTTCTCTGCACTTGTGCGGTTGGCACCTAATCCATCTGAATGTCACTCCTTGAAGTGCTTGCAAATAAAACCCATGCTTTGCCTTCTCTGCCACATTGCAAAAAGAGGTATTTTTGTTAATTGGATAATTTATCTCTTATTATTTTTTCCTCATACTCAGCTTGGAAATCAGAACTTACCTGCCAGTGTGTTGGAGGTAAATGCTTCACAGACACACAGACAAACCACACCAGAAGCCTCTCCTCCATGCCCTCCTTCCGTGGTACCTTTGAACCGAGCCACTTTCTCACCAGGCAGTGTTGCCAGCTCAGCATCACTTAGCCTTCCACCACCCGATGGTTTGGGGTCTTCACGCCTGCATACGCCCCAGAGCCTTTCCCACTGCCTATACAAACACCTGCTCCCAGCTCCTGAAAGCCTTATCCACAGCCACGACACAGGCTCTCTGACTACAGACTCCTCCCTGGCCGAGCACTCCTCCCGCTCGGAGAGCGAGTCCTCCACAGCCATGCTAGAGGAGCTGCAGATTGGTGACTCTGACACCGCGGGCCATTCTGAGACACCCTCCCCCACCTGGGGTCAGAGGTCTGCTGTGACAGATGGCACCACCTTAACCACCCCTGCGGCCATTCATGTAATTATTCTGCCTTTCTTTGCCTCCACCTCTTCCTTATAAGGACCGATTTCTTGTGCCATCTCATTTTTCAGCTGACATTTTTATTCGCATAGGTGTTGATTCCGAAACCAAGTCTGTGCCATCTGTCAGGGAAATCACTACAGTCATCCTCATACGCCTACTAAAGGCTGAAAAAGTCACTTATATTCTCTTCACTCATTTTAGAATTACTTACAGTTACTCTAAAATAGTTACTTATGGTTTCTCGTGTTACTGTAGCTGATGAGTCGTACAGTGATTTGCCTTATCTCAGAAATTTACATAAATATACATTACAATATGTTATGATCATAAAGTCTAAAATTTTTCAAAACATTTTAACCCCGTATTAATGCCTGTTAGTAGTTTTTCCCACAGTCTCACATGAATGTGTCCTGTGTGACGCTTCTCTGTGTCCTTGTTTCTCACATGAATGGTGACTGACTGCATGAGGCTAATTTTTCTTGCCTCTCCTTCCCTAATAGCTACAACTTTTGAACTCCTCTGTTGTCCAGGAGTGAATGATGTCAATAATTTTAATCTACCTTACAGAAACTTAACCGTAGGATTTTTTAAAATTATTCTTCCTCAGCCATTTCAGTATAGAAATTTATGAATACATTTTTAATTTTTTTTTTTTTTGAGACAGAGTCTGGCTTTGTCGCCAGGTGCCAGGCTGGAGTGCAGTGGTGCGATCTTGGCTCACTGCAACCTCTACCTCCCAGGTTCAGGCAGCTCTCCTGCCTCAGCCTCCCAAGTAGCTGGGACTACAGGTGCACGCCACCACGCCCACCTAACTTTTGTATTTTTAGTAGATTCGGGGTTTCACCATGTTGGCCAGCATGGTCTCAATCTCTTGACCTCGTGATCCACCCGCCTCAGCTTCCCAAACTGCTGGGATTACAGGCATGAGCCACCTTGCCCGGCCATTTTTAAATTTTATATATCAATAGTTTGTCTTTCATTTATAGCAATATATACATCTCTTCCATACATATATTACTTAAATATATCTATGTGATAAGCCATCCCTAATAAATGATTTGTGAGTGGCTAAAATGTTTCAAAATTTTATGGCACAGATTGCAAATAACGTGTAGGTAACGGCTTCCGTTTGAAAGGCACATAACCTCAAGCGAAAAATAGTAATTTTTTAATTGATATTATAATGAAGTTCCACATAAACACTGTCACAGACAAAATGCTCTTTGTGCTACATCGTTTTTATATTCTATCAAGCTCATAAATCTGCAAATTTTATGCACAGAGAAATGTTATAATAAGCCATATGTTTTTTAAGACACTGCAATTTACAGAAAGTAAAAGATGCTTTTTTTGGTGATGGGATTTAGTATTCCCACAATGGCTGGGTCTAACACTTTGCATTCAAATGTTCCATTCAGAGACTGGCTACAGAAGGAGCCTCGTTTTCCAGGTCTAACCCCACAGTGAGTCCCTCACCTGCCACAGGGGACCAGCCCAACCGCAGGTACCGGGAGCGCAGCAGGTGTGGGCTCCTACCATGTCCTCCTGTGCTTCAAATGGTTCTGAGCTTTTTAAAACTTCACCAGGACCTTTAATTAAAAATACAAGGGAGTGACAGTATATCAATCTACACGCTGACCTGTTCAATTTTCTGTTTTTAAGACGCTTCAGGAGCCTAACTATCTTATATGCAGTCTTGGGCACAAGCAGAGCTACTTGTAACAGAGATTAATTTCAGTTATCAGTTTAAAATTGCAAATAGATTATCCATGACGTGTTTTTCCTAATAATGAATTCAATGTCACAATACAGTGTTTTCTAAACTGCTAATGATATTATTTTAGTCATAAAATCCTGATTATTTTAACACAATAAAAGAATAAACCTGCTTTCAGTGTTTACTTTTTTAACCCCTAGTTAATACTATTGAAACCATCAAAATAGGATTTAGAGCAAGTTTCCTAGGTTTAGTAACCTAGTTAAGCTGATGGTTTCTCATAAGAAGGATTCTTGGGCTTTTAACATTAATTATAACATATTGTAATACTATTACGATGATATTGACAAAGATCCACCAAACTTAATTTGGGCTAAGAGGTGAGAGTGTTCTCAAATCATTCGTTGGAGGTACATAAAGCCTCTGAAGATTTGGGGAGGCCTGTGCCTCACGCTTGCTTGAACATCCGGCTCTCTCCAGGGAACAGGTCCTCGAGATATGGCCGGTTATGATATGACAGTAATTTTTCTAACAGCCTGAAGAAGTACTTAATCAATAAGCATAAGGCTTGTAATGAAATGTTTATCGATTTGGGGACATAAGTGGTATGGCTACACAATAATGAAATTAGACTTATTCTAGGTCATTTGAAAACCTATCTGCTTTAAAGTGAAATCATGGAAATATGCGGTTACTATATCTATGTTTCAAGCCTGTGTAATAGAAGTTTATTTTTTAAATAAGTAGAAAAGTTTCACAAACTATGGTTCTTTATCTGTGTGCCTCTGTGTGTTGTATGTGTTTAACTACAAGATAAATTAACTAAATGTTCTTGCTAATGTTGGCCTTACTTGCATGCACTGTGTGCGCTCCGCACTGGTCAGTGTTGTGCTGTGTGTCTGTGAACTAAGCCGATTCAGTTCAATCAGAATTGACTGAACATTTACTCTCCATTAGCACTAGGCTGTATGTTGTAAAAACGATTAAAGAAGCATATATGTGACCATCTTCAACAGGAAGCTTGAGATACCGTTGGCGATAGAAAATGCTCAGATATGAAACAGTCAAAACAATGAATAATTCAGCAATCAGAGATTCATAAAGTGCTAAATGAGCTGAAGCAGGGAGAAGCCAGAGGTTGAGCATGTCTTTCTGATCCTTTGCCAGATACCTGATCCTTCTAGAGTAGGTTGCTTCATGATATATAAATCCAAACAACCAGGTTCGTTATGCCAGCCGCCTTGCTCTGGAAGTGTTCCTTCACCAGAGGATATCCCTGACTAAGTCTGAGAACCGATCCCTTGCCGCATGGCAAAGGGCATCATGTCAGTGCTGCATGGAACACCACGGCCGTGTTCTGACCACTGACGTTTAGACTGTCAGAGCAAAGGGTCCTCCACGTTTACTTGGTACTGACTCCTACTGATACCATTTGGCACCTCTGTTGGCAGAGTGGCATGTCCGCTGGTCAGCCGCCTTCATTCTTCCTAACCAATCCCTGCGCCCTCAGATACACAAAGAGTGATTTTCAGAAATAAAGGAAGAAAGAGAAGGTGAAGAACGGACCATGCCCTCTGACATCAGTTTTCAAAATAAATAAGAGCTTGGCAGCTGATTACTGTCCTGTGATTGGAAGTCTTTTATTATCACCTGATGGAATGACGTTTACGGGTAACTATGTGCTTTAACTCGATGGCTTTGCACTTTTCTCAGAGCCAGATAACAGTGAATGGAAACTCTGGAGGTGCCGTGAGTCCCATGAGTTACTATCAGAGGCCGTTTTCCCCCTCGGCGTATTCTCTGCCAGCCTCACTCAACTCCAGCATTGTCATGCAGCACGGCACGTCCCTTGGTAAGTCATTTACTCACCGTGATTTCCATGAAAACCGCACGGCAAGTACAACCACAGGAGAAAAATAGGGGCCGTCAGGGTGAGGCAGGAGCACTCAGCATTCTGCTATTTCATGACCCTATCCACAGGGACAACCTGGGGCAGAGGACCCAACGTGGGAAAAAATGGGCACCATGATATTCCGAGACGATGACTCCACCTGTATCTGGTCCAGGAGTGAGCACTTAAATGTTGCAGGTGGTGGAGTAGAAAGAAAAAGAACACAGCTACTTAGGGCAGGGGGTTTGCGCCCCTGGAGGGCGTGAATGCAGGCTTCTCACTGGGGCAGCTTGTTCGTCTTGGAAAATCTTCCACCATGGACTACTTCCTGGGTGTCTGTAGAAGGGAGAATCATTTCACAGTTAAAACACTCTAACAGGAGGGCAGGCTACCCCACAAAGCAATGACACAGCCATCCACTGAGTCACAAAGTAGAAAACCACCATTCAAACCAAGGCTAGAAGACCTGCAGTCAAGGATATGGTAGCTGGAAACCACACAAGAAGAGTTCCTTGGCTGGGCGTGGTAGCTCACACCTGTAATCCCAGCACTTTGGGAGGCCGAGGTGGGTGGATCACTTGAGGTCGAGAGTTCGAGACCAGCCTGACCAATATGGTAAAACCCTGTCTCTACTAAAAATACAAAAAT